TTTATAAGAAGCTTCTCAATCATTATTGTTTGAGTTGCATTTACCAATTACTTGATTCACAATCCCGAGAGGCATTTTGGTCTCCCCCAATTTGTGGAAATATTCTCACAAATGAGTGGCACATCTTCCATGGAAGCCATGAACTTACAGCCAAATGAACGTTTTGGAAGGTAATAATAATAACACCAAGTAAAAGATCACTTAACCATTTTGTGTAAGAGGTAATGATACCATTTGGGTGCTTGAAACAAAGTGAAGTCAAATTCGAGCTAACAGTCTGGCTGTTGAAAACCAAGTGCTTCAGCCACTAAATGGACTCTTAGAACTCTAGGTCGTATAAGAAGAACCAGTGGGGGGGGGGGCACACAAAGTACTAGAGTATTATTAGTAAGTTTATACCACAAGCAGTTATTTATCAGACAACCCAACTTGGGACTAACTATAAAGATAAAAAATTTATTCAATTATATTTAGGGTTATGCTCTTGCCTTATTTAATCCTATGTTATTAGATGATGTTGATACTAAATATTAAGCAAACAATAACAACATTATTTCAGTATATCTAACTTCATTCCATGATTCTAGAACTTGGATCATATAAGTAAAAGAGGATCACGTGTTTTATTAGTACATATATGAAAGACTACGGAATGTCTGTGCCATTGTACAAAATCTTAAAATATGACTTTATGTTCATTAAGAAAAAGTAACAATATTAGAATAGAAAATAGTTAAAACACGCTAATTGATAAATCCTTTCATTCTGTAATCTACTGTATTGTTATTATTATCACCATCAACGATCTTGTCTTGTGCTGAATAAGACCCTAGAAAATTTATATTTATACAACTTAATAACTTATACTGGACTACATCATAAAATATTAGGCTAAAAATCAATGGAAGACATACACTCATTAACTTTTGATAAAATCAATTTTACTGTAAAACTTTAATAATAGACAATTCAATAAATAAAATTAGGAGATATTAACTTGAGGAAAGCAACAAAATTTAGATAAATGGGATAACACTAATTTCTATCTATCAATTCCGTAAAAATTAAGCAATAAAACTATTGATGAAGCTTAAAATCAGTGTAGACCAGAATCTAATGTACATAAATAACGGTTTAGAGTAATAAATATCCAATTAAAGTTAAAAACATTAGGCTAGGTGCTACCGTGAAGCGATGATCGACCTTGAACTCGTTCATCTACGTCTTACCATCTCAAGGTCGGGAAGACTAAAAGTGGAAAAATCCTGGTTTGAAGACGTACTGCTGACTTGACAGGGATTTATTAACAGTAAGGTTCCGTCGAACAACCAGCATCTGTAGTGAAGTATCCTTTCCATGACAGAAGTAAGAAGTAATAGAAGGTTTACTATAAAATTTCACACCTTGACGATCCCTAAGGATTCGAATGCCCAGCGAATTGAAACAACGATATTTTCAATATAAAAAATAAATATCACTTGGTTTTCCATTCTACATTGCACTAATGTTGTCCGATAAGATAATTATGACTGAGGAGGATTCAGTATGAGTACATTAAAGAGTCTATTGAAACCAGTATAATATACGATTTAGTAGAAAGACTGTATAATCATATGATAAATAAATTATATACTACAAGAAAACTGTTAGACAATAAACTTCGAAGAAAAGAAAATGGAATCAAGAAATGAAGTAAACCGGAACATAAATACAATAAAACTACAATCATTACAAAATTAATGACAGTCATGGCAAATCGAAATAAAAAATATTAATAAAATATCATATCATAAATGTATTCGTTCACACACAAAAAAAACATTGCTAGTTTATAAATAAGAAGTTAAGATTACAACACACATACTAAAACACATTTAAAGAGGTTGATTAGTCATCTATTCACCATTAAAACATGTATCTTATCAAATGAAATGATCGGAATACAAACGGATAGTGATTAAATATCCAAACATCATCGTATACATGATTCAATCATAATTACACTGAAAGTATGTGCAATTCAATACATATAGACATCTCTAAAGGTAATCATAGTTAACCCGACCGTTGTTGCTACCTTGACCTGGTGGTCAGGTTTGCCTATCGTGATCAACCAATCGAGCTATACTGGCTGGAACAACTGTTCCTCAAGGTCCTACAATGCCAGACAGGTCAGTTGAAGAACAGTAAAACTAAAAGCAGCAAACCCAAGGTCTGAGGGCGAAGTCAAACTGTTGACTGTACAGAGGTGTGACAGCAGTAAGGTGTTTCCTTCAGACAACCAGCATGACATCGATGCTGCCTTCTCACAAAAAGGGATGGGGTTAGAAAAGGTCGACCCTAAAAATACACACCTCACCTTATCCCACGGATATCCGTCTCCGACGTTAAGGTCTCAACAAGTACAGAGCTAACACAAAAATTACTCATAAAAAGGTCGTGTGTGACCGACCTCAAGCAGTTGTCCCTTGGGCACTGCGGTCACGCTCTCAGGTCACTAAGACCACCTCTAATCCAATTTCCTTTTCAGATACCTCCAGAAGAACCCTTCCACGGGCTGGGCAACAGGGAAGTGTTAACTGCCCTCATACCTCTAACAGCACCCAAGATCACTGTATTCATAATCAAACCCCTCTACAATTCCTACCTCTAATCATGGTTAAAATACAAAAAATATTGCACAAAATTAACACAAAAGTTTAAATGAATAATCTCATTTAAGCCATATAATTTGTTGTACCGTTTTGATAATATATTTTACAAAATAGAAGTTTAGTAAATTAAAGGTGTAAAATGGTGTTTCAAATACGAAGATGAGCAACGGATTCAGTTAATTGATAGTAAGTGATGAATAGCACGAGATGTAACAAAATTTATTAAGTGAAATGGAAGCATCTAAATGAGACAGTGAAGAAATATCACAAACAAAAATATTTTAGAAAAATACCTAATGAATAAAATATCTAGACTGATTATCAAAAGAATAAGTTCAATTTTGCCGATTCTTTCCACCTTTTTCCAAACAAATACGAAAATTTAGAAGTTGAATTCATGAGTCGATTTAGGCTAGACCACTATTGAAAACTTGGAAGGAATAGACGACCGTTTCGTCCTAGTATGGGACTCCTTAGCAGTGCGTATCCACGATCCCGCATACATGAATTGAACCCAAGACCTTCGATCTCGCGCGCGAACGCCAAACCTCTTGACCACTGAGCCAGCATTTAACGGTGTTAGTGTCTAACTTCAACCAATCCAATGGTGGTCTAGCTTAAATCAACCCATGAATTCAACTATTAAATTACTACAAAATCCACAAACCCCCATTCTGAAAATATGAAAATAACAATATTGCAATAAACATGGTATTTATACTCTATGAATAGTGGACTTTGGATAAGCAAATCTTGTGGAACGTTTGTATTAAGAAATTGAGTTAGTACAAAAAACCAATGATAACTAAATCTCAATTGAAAATAAACAAACCATTAAACTTTAATCTTTTTTAGGAAGTACGCATTTCTGATCCTTTCTAAATTGATACTAGTTTGAAATAGTACTCCTCAAATTGTGAGAAAAGTGGTTAGTTGATATGTGATATAAAAGTTAGTTCCAGTCAATTGCTTTATGCATAGTTATAGATCGTCAGAATTTTGCATACATTTACATTACATTCATAACATTCTTCAAACAGTTGTTTACTGTAACTGATGAATGAATTAATTAATTGCTATGAATCAGGATGGTTTATAGACTACAAGTTATAAACAGCTAATACGGACACGAATGAAAGAAAATGTTAATCTGTTCAAATCCTTATTAAAAAAGTAAGTAAAACGATGGAATATTTCTTTACACTTAGCTCGCTGGCATGACTCAACATCCTGAAATATGGGTTTTAAAACAGGGTATAGAATTAGTACCAAGTAAATGATGGTCGATCAATTTAATAATGTATCCCAATATTTTCTCTGAAGATCTAAATCGGTTAATACATCAACGAATGTAAGATTAAAATTGGAACTACATAATTTGTTGACTATCACAAATATTACTCAAGAATATAAATAGGAATTAAGGACTGTAAAAGTGAGTTTGAAATCGATCAACTGACATTACATATTTAATGAGCAAATCGAGTAATCGGTGTAGTAATACAATTGACTTTGTAACGCTAATAGGAAAAGAGCGTCAACTAACAAGTTTGATGAACAAACAAAAGAACCGTAAGTTCTATTCTGTCTCATTTATACAATCCTGGCCACCACATCCACATAAAGCTAGATTTAAAAGTTTAACATAGCATTCTACTGAAACTGTTTGGGACTCATCAGCTAGATGCACCTGGATTACAGAGCTGATGTTCACTTTGGGACTTGAACCCGGTGATTTTCGCTTCAAATGAGATCGTGGTATCCATTTAGCTACCGAGTTCATATAGCCACTAGCTAATGCAGGTACATCCAGCTGATAAGTCTCAAATAGGACGAAACGCGCGTCCTGGATTCCGCTGCTAGCCACCTCCCATCTCTTCTTCAAATGTTTGTGATATTACTGACAATATCGAGGCAATTTACGCATGAAGTACATATGCCAAGGAAGAGACAGATCAGATCCAGTCGTAAATATCAGTGGGAAGATTTATTTGGTATTAATTTAATAATTAATTATAAAACCTACATACTGGTGTAGAGCTGTGGTAAGGAGCTAATTGAAAAGGAAGAATTTCTTTGCTCAACTTGTGCATAGTGAAAATAATTAATACAAAACTGTGACTATGATTATCTTCGTTGCTCCACATAACTTTGATCAAAGTAAACTTTTGATATACAGATAAAATTAATCACAAATATTTATCCCTTCTAAACTCTGACTATATGGAGATATCAACTATGAACAAACAAACAAACCCACTAATATACGTATAATGCAATATGCATATTTTATTACATATAGATAAACATGTTATGTCATCAATTTACCCAAATTTATCTTCGTACTTTTTATTTCTAACAGCTTGAATTTGTGTATAATTTTTGTCTGATAAATTATCATTTAAAGTTGTTACATTTTCACAGCTTGGTGCAATCATACGAAATAAACTGTCAGAATGTTCAATTAAAATCCCCATGATATGATTGATTGAATTCTGTTCTCGATAACCCTAGGATTGTAAAAAAAAAAGCAAATAAACATCTATATTAGAATGAAAAGAAAATATTAGACAACAATGGTAGTATTAATGAAATACGAATAACAGACGAGTAAATTCGCTAGAAGAACAAATTTTTTCATTGAAAACAGGTTGGACACAAACAAACGCACCGCAAAATATTATTTTGCTATAGATCTCGGAACCAAAATCACTAACACACAAAAATATGTAAAAATATTTCAGTGTTAATGAATTAATTAAGGATCATGATAACAGGTAATTCAATACTGTATTGATCAGGTTGAAAACAGTTCAAGCGCACTTCATATCCTTATAGAATTTACAGAAAAAAAAAACAAATCAGTAGTGGAATTTTAAAAGGCAGATACACCAAACGATTATTAAATGTTCAATACTAAGTGAATATTAAATAGATAAGGTAATATTTACTTTTACCATCGAAACGATCATCGGTGATCAAATTTAAATATAATTCACTGTTAAGGAATTAAGTGTAATTTTCTAATTGAACTGTTATCCTACATTCACTAAATTTTAGGCAGTCAAGCAGTAAATGTAGTTCTAACGCACAAGAGTGTGGCTTAAATCCTGTATATTTGACCACTGAATTGAATTAGCTTATTAGTAAATAAGGAGGGTTAGTGATTATAGATAAATTTGTTAAACAGCGCGTAAAACTATTTATTACGTTACATCAATTATGAATTGGTGAGAAATATGAATTCGAATGACAAAACGATTTGAGATACATCACAATGATGATAATAAGCAAACACAAAACCTTATTGAGAATCATCCAACTGACTAACAGTGATTGCATAACAATAAGTATCTCATAAGAATGAAGGTGATAACTACAATGTCATGAAAAACGAACAAACATAAGGCTAATAAATACAATTATTTAATTAAAGATTCAAAGTTACTACATTGAAAAATTTCAAAACAACTATCAATAATTGTAGTTTTGCATCACGAACTGACCTTAGTCGGACAACCATTGGAAACCAAGGTCTATTTAATAGCTGTTTCATCATAGTTTGAAACTCACAACCAGTGTATATGCACAACCCCACCAGAGATCGAATCCAGGACTTTTAGGATTCGCAGTGAGAGCCTAACCTGTTGAAAACTAGTAGGGTCATGGATGTACACTGATGACGAGATTTTATACTAGGACGAAACAGCTGTGTAGCACCTTCTGGATTTTAATGGTTGTTTGACTAAAGTCGGTTTATGTTCCGAGACTAAGATTTAACTACCTCTAAATCCCCCTATACTAAAGCAAATTAACGAATATTTTCCCCAGTTGATGTATAGATGACAAATATATGTGGCAAATATTCGCTAAATAATGTAGTTTTTTAAAACCACTTACACTGTAATAAATCGCATCTCGTACACTAACGTTCAAACACAGTACATGCGGTGAATTCGAACATCTCGTTTTCTCAGTGAAACCAGACAAACGAGAATCTCTCTCAGTATGCTTAAAATTGATACTACTAGTAACATACCAAAAAAGTATTCACTACAAAATGACATCAACAGAAAAAGCACCAGTGGAAAGAAACAAGTAATAACAGCATATGTATAGTTGTTTTATCTTCATTCGAAATAGTTCAGCAGTATTCACTACGGACCGATTCCATACTATATTTAGTATGTGTTTGTGTTGCATATACTACTGAGCCCCCGATTAGAATAATAAAAAATTACTGCACAATGATGCCTTGGTTTGTAATTCATAATCTCAAAGTAAATTACCTTAAAAATAACTATAAACAGACTTTTTTACAAATCAAACTATGAAGAAAAAAAAAGAACTAAGTCAGTAGAAATTAAAGATCAATTATCAGTTGTTATTCATTTCAAGAGTAATACAATAAAACAAAGAGGTTTTGTCAGGTTACTAGCACACATACATACATATATGCACATATATAAGCAAACCAAATTTTCAATTTCCAAAACAGATAGGTGTATAATAATGCAATCAATTCGATCGAATCCCAAATCAACAAAAATTAATGAATGAATAGGTGAATCAACTAACTAAACACATAGAAACACACACACACATACACAACTAGCACTGCTAGATTAAAACGCACTAGAATAGCTCTTCACAGAAAGCATATATATGTCTATGATTAATATACAGTATACGTAAAATAATGTACGTTGTATTGTAAATTATTTTTTAATAAAAAAAAACAAAACCTTAACAAATCAATAAACAACATAATAGAATTGCTGTAACAACAAATATTATCAATTCATATAAATCACAAAACAAAGGGGAAGGAACATGAAGAAATAAGAGAAATAGATGGAGAATAAATAGGTAATAAATAAATTAGAGATAGGCAAAGAGAATGCGTCATAAGATTGTATGAATGATACTTTTAGTGGCCCTATTTCTGACTCCTAATATATTGTATGATGATTGTTATCGAAATATACATATCTCTAACCCTTGTATATAATTATCGATTTAGACAATAACGGAATAAAAAAAGCCAAATATGAGAATGAATTTCCGATTCGTATGTTTCATACACTCGTTGATACAGTCGGGCAATTAGAGAAATGAAGTGGATAATGTAAAATGAAGCGATGAGAAGGCGAGTGAGCAAACTCCTTTAGACCAAGCATTATTTAATATTCATGGTCAGACCAAAAATAAGTTGCAGACACATAACGCACATACGACCAAATAAAAACAGTCAGGGTTAATAAGTGAATAATCAACAAGTTCAAAATGTGGCTTGAGAAAAGTGCATAAACTGATCTATCCAGAAACTAAAACAACCTATGTGGGATTGATATGGTACCAGCCACTACATACTCGACCATTCAGGTGAACATATATTGCAACATGAAAAAATAATAAAATTAGAGATTCATTTAATTCTCAACTAAATTAACCTCAATATTCATCATATGAAGGGAAAAATACAGGCCATCTTATTTATTGATTTGAACACACAAATATTAGTACAAAGGGGCACCAAATACATATGTGCCACACAAGTCACTTGATTTGTGTGTGGGCTGTGATACCGTCCGGGTGCCCAAACCGAAGCTGGTGGTTTTCTAAAGAGGCCACACACATACACCCTTCGACCTAATGGTCTGATCCACAAGTCAGTGGAGCAACGTCAGGAGATTCAGTCCCATAGTAGCCAGTGACCAACGATTGGTTCACACCCCATTTGTTCCTTCAGGATACTGGAGCCTACATGCAGTACTGATTCGGAATCAGGGTTTTCCAACTCCCCTAGGTGGATCCTCTGTGTCCACTAACCTGGTTAAAGTGCCGGACATTCGCTTTCGTCTTCTCAATTTCGTAAACGACACTTCTGCCACGAGAAGGCAGTGGTTGTATGCGCGTAGCCATGAGAGATCATTTCGAGAGGGAGAGCTAACTCTCCCCACCCTCGGTCCTACCATGGCATTTGGGGGGTGGTAAGACCATATTCTCCGTACTCTACTAAATGAGAAGGATGGCAACTTTATCTGATTTTGTTTTCCCTTAAAAGAAAAATAAATCTGAAAAATTGTCATCTAACGTGTTCAGTAAAAATAAACTGATCTATTGGTGGTTAGGTTGAAACAAAAATAATTTAAACAAGCAAACAAACGCAAGAAAATGGTGGAAATTATTGAGTGAAGTATAATTAAAACAATAAAGAATAAAAACATAAAATTAATAAATTATAGAGAAAAAAGAACAGTTCAGAATACTGATTTTAATTTATTCTATGTTAAAGGATTAGCAGAGAACTAAAACTTCTAAATTAATTGAAAGATGAAACATGGATGATTTTTATCTATGCATATGTTTTTAAAAAACTTTTTTAAAGAAACTCTACAATACAAGTGAATGGAACAATAGATCAATTAGAAAGGTTTTGTGTAGAATGGCTTAATTTGCATGTTTTATTTGTTAAAGATTAATCTCAGTTTGGTTACCACAGAAAATTAAGAAGCATTGGACAGTTAATTCGTCCTATAGTGGGGAAAGTAGCACTACTCAACAAACAAAAGTGCATCAACGTCAAGAGACTAAGTTTAGTGGCCATATTACACAAGCGAACGATAGGGTTTGAGCATTCCCATAGGTCAAACGTAATCAAAATATTTCCTATTAAATGACGGACTGTTGTACAAAATGGTGTATTGATTGGTCTTATTTGAGATTACGTCACATTGATTTTTGAACACAGAAATAATTAAAGTTGAAATAGAATCTGATTCGATATAGTGTGAGTGCTACTAGCCAATTTGTGTTATTTATTCAGGGCTCTACTGACCGTAGTCTACAAAATAAAAATGCTTAGTCAGTCACCGATCTCGCTTTGCTCAGTCTTGTATCATACTGTCATGAAAATTGTGAAATGACCAATTGTTTGAGTGAATTTTTTATCATATCGACAATCCACCCATATTTTTTGAATAGGCAAATAATTACGACAGACTAATCAGAGTAGTAAAAGATCTTTGGTTAGTAAATTGTTTTGTTAATTTTCATGATCAAATCATTTACAGACCATCGACTATCGAATTCAACTGTATTGGTGCGTACAAACTTCCTAGTTGAAGTCTAAGCGATAACTGTGAACAACAGTTTGGAAATTTAGATAACGCAACATAGTGTACAATCAGAAGTATTCACTTTTTATCTTAGCTTAGATAATGAATATCAAACATTTCACATCATTTCTATCCAAGTTTCAATCCTTCTTTCCGAACGATATTCTTCCATTTCTATTCATTTTTAACATTATTGACACTAACCATTGTTCTGACTCATTTTGTTATTCGTCTCGTTAGTTTCATTTATGCTTTTATTGAGATCATGAACTGATCAATGTCAGACCAATATTGGAAACCTGGAAGTATTTAGATGTCCGTTTCGTCCTAGCATGGAACTTTTCAAAAGTGCATACTCACGATCCCGTATACGAGACTCTAACTCGGGACTTTCGGTTTCACACACAGACACAAACTATAAACTACTGAGCCCTCGTCAAATAGTGTTAAAAAACTCAACAATCTTCACAACTATTTACTGATATTGTGTTGTGTTAATGTGATGTATGTAGCTGATGTACTAACTGACGTACATTTGTCCTAGACTATATATAAATATATATTAACAATTATTGACTGGCTAAGAGATTATTTTAATTTGGTCAGGTTTTAAAGACCAATTAGTTATTGAATAAAGTAGTTACAATGATTAAAACAGTTTTTTATTAAAAAATCATTCATAAAAGGATAGTCATACATTATAACTAATGAGTTAGTGAAACGATCAGTAAATATTACAAATCAATAATAGTAATAATAATAATAATAAGACTGCTAGCTAATCAATTGTACTAATTGGAATTCTATGTATTAAATGAAAAAAATATTCCCACGTAGAGTATCTATCCATCTACTTTTCTATAGAATGAAATTATCCGTTTATAAATGAGAAATAAATTTAAAAAAAGAATTCTATTATTTATATTAGTATCTATGATTATTACGGCTATTCTGTCATTAAAATTTACTGTTATTATTTACTAATTTAATTATTTATCCTAAAATTAATAAACTTTATTTATTTTGAAATTATTCTCACATCATCATTATTACACTTAATGATATCTGCACCCAAACACAAATAGTAATAACGCTTATCTTTCTTTAATATATACGCATGTCCATTCTTCAGTACAACTACAGTTATATATATATGAGTTGTGAGAAAAAAAAGTAGTAGGTATAGTGTATTTTCGCTTCATAAAAGAAGACTGTGAGATAACCAGAGCCAGGAACATAAACTCAATAGATTCAGTCTATCGATTGAAGAATATAAGATTACTTTAGACCAAAATACTTGGTGGTGAATTAATCTGGTATTGGTTGATTACAGGATAATAATCCCGAAGCCCTGAAACTAGAAATATTCTATTTATTGGCTTTTGTTATTAATTACCATAAAATTTATACTGTTAACAGGAGTCAAAAACATTATTGTAATGAGATTAGGATTACAGCTATACACGTATAAATGACTGGACAAGTACAGATATAGAAATTAGCATAGTGTATATTATATTGGACAAATTGGATACCACCTTCACCTGTGTATTCGCAAACATTAACTAGAATTGAAACAATATGATACTGTTATCACTGATATCAATACGCATGAACATGAATGTGATCGAAAAAGTCTAAATTCAGGATCGAGAAGACAAGAATAATATCAAAGAATTCTAAAAAACTAGAAGACATTCAGATTCGTTGGTAAACGGTTAACACATTAATATAGACCATATCTATCACCCTATACGGAAGACGACAATGAGTCACAAGGTCAAGAGTTAACTGAAAGCAATAGTCAACAAGAATACGAAAATAAATGAAAACAACCAGACACAGACAAGGCCATTAGAATGTACTGATGAAACAAAGGTGAAAAGCTCACTTCTACATAAATTAGGCGATGTCAATATTGTCCAGAACGACGATAAACCCATTACCCTACAATGAAAGTTTCTAGTTCAGAGAGCACAATACTATTGAAATTTTACCAATTGTATTGATCATAATAATACCAACATTTATATGTATAATACAGTGCAATCAATAATTTAGAAACTAACACAAATGAATTCTAGAACAAGAACTGTAACCGTTTTACACATCAATAGTCAAAAGATAACACTCTATCCAAATACATTTAAATGTATTAAAGACGTCAAACAAAAGAAAAAAATTTTCTTTATATTATGCCAGATAAACAAAATAATCGAAATTATTTGCATAAATATATATATATATATATATATATATATATATATATATATATATATATATATATATACATGCACTTTAGTGAATGAGATTGTGAATCTTATTTTAAATTTTTACTCTCAGTCTAATAATACTATCACTAAGATCATTGATTCTATTGGTTTGAGTATTTGAACAATCAAAGGATTGTAATTTGATCGAGATAACTTGAATATAATCGAAGATTAGAAAGTGCTGAGCAACTGATTCGTATCTGACAGCCAGTAGGATATATATACATAAATTACTACAGATAAAGATTATTTTCAAGGGGATGAAATAGATGTATCCCAAATGTTGAGAAATGAAGTTACTGTAACCTCAGTTCCTGCTGCACTGGCTACGTATCTATATATATGAAACTTGAATTCCGAGGGGAAAGTCTGTGAAATAATAGTCAAGTTTACCCTACCTACTCCACTAATGCCGGAAAAGTCACATCATTTAAACAGAAAATCCCAGTAGTCATTCTAAGAAAAACTTACCAAGTTTTCAGGTGTAAATCGAAAAACATTAGGTCCGAATACAATACCTAATGATTCAATCGACATTTTATTATCAGATTGGTAAACAGAAACACGGTGTAAAAATTGGCATAAATGCTTGAGTAGAGTATAATTGACCACTGGTAATTGAGCAACTAAATTTTCCAACTGAATTAGATAAGCATCTTGATTTGAACGATATTCCGAATGAATCTTAATGAAATAAAACGAAAAGTAAAATAAAAGAATAAAAATGGATAAGTAAAGTAATGTAGAATTTAACCAATGCTTATAAAATGAGCAAAACAATTAAATAGACAAATAAAAACGTAATGTATTTCCTGAGAACATCTGTGTACTAATCTTTATTGATATATTTTAAATTAATTTCATAACAATAGAATGAACAATTTGAAAATGGAAGTGAAAATGCTGATAAAAAAAATAGTAGTAAACAAAAGTGAAAGCAGATATTAAAATCCACAGGAAAGTAAAATGTAGACCAATCGATACCATTTCTTTATCTAGTCACTTAGATAATGTTTTCAACTTATTCATATTATCATATTAGACAGCCAGTTGAGGTAGTTGGTAAATAGGCATGATACAATCAATGATGTCGTTTTACGCAAATTTGTAAGTCAAATTACACACAGTTACCAACCTCTCATAATCTCTAATTCGTGAGGATTATAACCAAAACGTTCACCGTTTTCATAAGCAACCGTTGAGTCAATCAATCATAAACAACCTACAGACTGGGACAGCGAGACGATTAGCAAAGAGTTAAAATGATAGATGATAGTGAAAAAGATTAAGGACCGCAAAGTAAGAGTAGGAAAGGAGAGATGAATTCGGTGAATAAAACATGCGAAATAATACTGAGGTTTAAGATTTTGAGGTAGATAAAGAGCCAATGCATCTGCTCCCTTAATACAGATTCTAAGCCATGTCAATTATCGTCTCCCATTATTGCTTACGATAATTGAGTGAACTTACTTACTTACGCTTGTTACTCCTAATGGAGTTATAGGCCGCCGACCAGCATTCTCCAACCCACTCTGTCCTGAGCCTTCTTTTCTAGTTCCATCCAATTCTTGTTCATTTTTCTCATGTCTATCTCCATTTCTCGGCGTAATTTGTTCTTTGGTCTTCTTTTCCTTTGGCCTTGAGGATTCCATGTGAGGGCTTGTCTTGTGACGCAGTTCAGTGCTTTCCTCGATGCGTGTCCTATCCACTTCAAGCGCTTCTTCATGATTTCTTACTCCGCTGGGATCTGGTTTGTTCTCTCCCACAGTACGTTGTTGCTAATTGTGTCCGGCCAACGGATCCGAAGTATTTTGCGTAGACAACTGTTAACAAACACATGTATCTTCTGGATGATGGCTTTCGTAGTTCTCCAGGTTTCCGCCCCATACAGTAGGACTGTCTTGACATCTGTATTGAAAATTCTGACCTTGGTGTTGGTTGACAGTTGTTTTGAGTTCCAGATGTCCTTCAGTCGTAAATATACTGCTCTTGCTTTGCCGATCCGCGCCTTCACATCTGCATCAGATCCACCATGTTCATCAATGATGCTGCCCAAATATGTAAAGGTTTTTACATCTTCCTAATCGTCTCCGTCAATTGTGACTGGATTGGTGCATGCTGTGTTGTATCAGAGAATCTTGCTTTTCCCTTTGTGTATGTGGAAACCTACTGCTGCTACACTGGTCGTCTTCTCCTGCATTTGTTTTTGCGTTTGCGATAGAAGGGCCAGATCATCCGCGAAGTCTAGGTCGTCTTACCGCATCCTAGATGTCCACTGTATCCCGTGCTTTCCTTCAGATGTTGATGTTTTCATGATCCAGTCGATCACCAGGAGAAAGAGAAAGGGTGAGAGTAAGTAACCTTACCTGACACCTCATTGAAGAGAATGTGGAGTATCCTTGCAGTTACCGCTACGTCTGCTTTCAGTGCCTCTGCTGGAATGTTGTCTGGTCCTGCTGCTTTGCTACTCTTGATTTTTCTGATGGTCATGCTGATTTATTCAATTGTCGGTGGGCCGACATTGATTGGGAGGTCTGCGAGTGCTGCTTCGATATTAGATGAGTTCAGTGGAACTGGTCGATTCAAGAGTTCTTTGAAGTGTTATACCCACCTGTTTCGTTGTTCACCAATGTTGTTGATTACCTTGCCTTTCTTGCTTTTCAGTGGTCGTTCTGGTTTACGATTCTTTCCAGAGAGTTTCTTTGTTATGTCATACAGTTCTAATCGAGTGAATCCCGGCGTATATTCTGCATCTGAAAGCACGGCTCGGTTCAACCACCGATGTTTATGCCATATCCTGGTGTGACTGTCTCGAGTTTCCTTCCAACCCATTCTTGCACCGATCAACTTTGTGTGTTGAGGTGGGAATTGGTTGTGTATACGTAATAGCTTATGTCTCATCCATCTAGATCGACGAAGATTCAATCTCACTTTTGATTAACACCTTATAACTAACATCGATAGTGCTCACTCGCTAGTTCCACTAAAAGCGAACAATTTTCTGAAGAAACCTATATTAAAATGTTTACAGCTTACGAATACCTTCTATTTTCACAGAGGATATTTCACAGCCATAGAGTGATATGGAAAGAAACGTTGCAAAACAACTTTCAAAAATGATAATTGAAGTAGAATTTTGAACGAATTCCTTTTGTTTTTCTCATACAAACTTGGGTTAATAAGGGTTGATGACATAATTAGTGAGAAAATCCAGAAATTAGAAATATTTATTACTCTAAAAATAGCTGTGAAAGTTGATCAGTATTATCTATAACCTTCAATTAATATTATCGGAAGCCTTAATAATCTAAAGAATCAACAAAGTAAAATTAAGTATACACTGAACAATTGTGTAGTATCGAATTTTCATAATTATAGACAAATAAACAAATGTTTGTATAGCTATAAAAAGCTTAAACAGGAAAGACACGTTTTACTTGGTTATTTATAAACAACACGCGATATATACTACATAGAATATATTGCATATGTTACCCATAAAATACTAAGTTGTTACTTAAAACAGTAGAACTAATCTGGAAATATTCAAAACAATTACCATCAAAACATTACTAAAACACTATAGGGAAAGTATGAATGCAGCGAAACACTGCCAAGCAACCAGCAGTTGTAGAGCTACGTTTTGGGTTAGTTAACTATTCGTACATTTGAAAGGTGCCCACTACAACGCAGCATGGAATGATATCCGAAAAGCTGTGGAAACAGCAGTGATATCTGCTAGTACGGTAAACCGTAAGGTTAGGGAGCAACACTGGATATCAGTAGCATCTACCGCACTGATAGATACTCGAAAACTCATTCCGTTTGACTCTGAACATAATGAAGAGCGCAGTCAGCGTAAGCGCAAGTTGACAAGAAGCCTACGTATGATCTTGAACAGTAGTGGGTAGCGAAAGCAAGAGAGATGGAAAAGGCAGTGACAATAGGTAATAGCAGACAACTGTTCAAACTCGTTAAAGAAACCGGTATTAGGAAACCGACTGTTAGCGAAACTATCTCGGGAAAAGATGGACATATTATTCACTCTCAATCCAGGAGACTGGACCGATGGGCAGAACACTTTAGGGATCAGTTCAACTGGCCTTCAGCCACACTTCGGTTTCCCACGATCTCCAGTCAACCTAAATGGCAAGTTAACGTAGGTCCTCCGACTCTTTACGAAGTTGAAAAAGCCATAGGAAATCTGAAGCGAGGGAGAGCAGCAGGCCCTGACAGGTTCATTCCTGAGATTTTTAAGGATGGTGGTCCAGCAATAACAGTGAGATTAACTGAGGTCTTAGGTAGAATTTGGGAACTGGACGTAATCCCATCTGGCTGGTCTCAATCACTGATTGTGCCAGTCTATAAGAAAGGACAAAAGTGCTCTTGTGACAATCACAGAGGGATCAGTTTGACTAATATAGTGTCTAAAATATTAGCTTCAATAATACTTCGACGCCTAACCAAAGCTCGGGAAGAACAGACTAGAGAAAATCAGGCTGGTTTTCGACCTGGACGTGGTTGTATAGACTAGATATTCACACTACGTCAGGTTCTAGAACACAGACACACATTCAGACGCCCCACAATGGTAGTATTTCTCGACCTTAAGGCGGTATTCGACTCTGTTGATCGTAAGGTTCTATGGCAGTGTTTGTCACTGAAAGGAGTACCAAAGAAGTACATTAATCTTATACAGCCTCTCTACTCGAACACAACTGGTCGAGTGAGAGCTTATGGCGAACTGTCATCAGAATTGATTAGCTCAAGTGGTGTTCGTCAGGGCTGTCCACTCTCTCCATTCTTGTTCAACTTTGTCGTCGACGTACTTTTAGAGATAACACTTTCCTCATCTAAATTTCCAGGGGTTGAACTTCTATCAGGAGGTTCACTTGTTGACTTAGAATATGCTGATGACATAGTTTTATTTGGCGAAGACGCTGACAAAGTGCAGAGTCTTCTGACCACTCTAAGCAACAATGCAAACATGTTCGGCATACGATTCTCTCCCTCGAAAAACAAAATGTTGCTTCAGGATTGGGTTGCATTGACACCCGAACTAATGATAGGAAGTGAAGTAGTTGAGCGTGTCGACCGCTTCACTTATCTTGGAAGTCTCATCAGCCCTTGTGGTCTGGTGTGTGACGAAATCTCAGCACAGATACAGAAGGCTCGACTAGCTTTTGCCGACTATTAAACAAAGGACGGGTTTACTGCGCAGCAGTTCGTTCCGTCCTACTTTATGGCAGTGAAACGTGGCCGGTAAGAGTAGAGGATATCCGTAGGTTACTAGTATTTGATCATAGGTGTCTTCGAAATATTGCTCGTATATCCTGGGACCATCGAGTAAGTAATGCAGTTGTTAGGAAACGGGTACTAGGTAAGGATGGCAAATCCATTGATAAAGTAGTGAAACTTCATCAGTTGAGATGGCTGGGACACGTGTTACGTATGCCCAACGACCGACTGCCTCGACGTGCGATGTTCAGTGGTATAGGAGTAGGTTGGAAGAAAGCTAGGGGCGGCCAGACCAAAACATGGCACAAATCCATGAAATCACTGACAAGTGGACTGAGCCATGTCGGCAAGTGTAGATTACCTGATTGGGGACCGCGAGATGATAGCAACCGATGGTTAGAGACCCTGAATGACATGGCTCAAAATCGTTTGCAATGGCGCAGTTG